GGCCAGCGAGAAGCAGGGCTGGCCGGAAGGGGGTTGGGAGGAGCAGGGGAGAAAATCAGCCGGCAGGGAGCGGGACTGACCTGGGCACATACAGATCCTGGGGTGCTGCCTGTCCCGGGCACGGTCCCGGTGAAGCACGAGTGAGTCCGGCCCCGGAGATTCCTTCCCACCCTGCCCCCCGTGTGAGCGTGTCTACCAGCCAGGCAGTTCGCAACTAGGTACTGATGCTCCTAATAACAATAATATGTACCTAATTAGAAAATACCGGACATTTTATATGTCCGGTATTTTCTCAATTTGTTTCTCAGACAGAACCCTCAAATATCAGACTGTCCAGTTCAAAACCGGACACCTGGCAACCTTATCCAGGGGAGCAGAGCAGTCGTCCCCTCCCCCGTCTTGCCCAGGGACCCAGCAAGGCTGTCGGTCCTGTTGCAGTGCAGGCATAGCCTTACATTTTATGTGTTTTATTTTCTGGATAAAAACCATTTTCCATCAGTTTCTTTTTCCAACTATTGCGTTATTCTATCCAGGACTACCCCTTTTGTCCAAGGTGTGCTCTCTTGGATTTCAGCAGCCTTCATTTGCCCTTATTCAGTCTCACGTTAGGCTTGCTCGCAACCCTAACTAGACTATGCACCCTTTTGTGTAGCTACTACTTTATCTCTCGTTGCATCTTTGCATGTCCTTAATGTGACTCACAACTGTCAGGCATTCCCCCTTTTCTTTTAGTTGTCACTCATTTTGTTAGGTAGCAGCCACACAGAATTTCTACAGACATCGCTTAGTGCTCAACATATGTTAACATATGGAGTACTGGATATTCGGCTCTGCAATGTGCATGGGCAACTCTTAACATTTTATCTTTTGGCTCATGCAGAACTTGAATTATTTTACAGCAACAGCTCTCAATAGAGGCAGCTAAGCTGGCTCCTATCCATTGTTTTGCAGCTGCTTTACTGCCTTCCACAGATGATATGCTGGCAAAAACAACAGAGCCTGTCTACCTTAATATTTCACCACTGTGACCGGTGGTGGAGCTAGACCAACAGTGGGGAAAGTGTTCATGCAGAGAGATGGCATTCATCTTCACTTCCTGGCCCATTTTAGTGTGCATTGTTGTAATAAAGGGCTGCCCATATTCTGCCCCAGAGGTAGCTGCACTTCAGTTGGGCTCAAGTAATCCCTGAGACCAAATTCACATCTATGGTGGGTGACAGTCACAGAGAAACCATTGAGAGTGCTGGTGTGAGGGGCTTGAAGGATCAGACACCTGTAAAGCCTTCAGGTTTCCGGGTGCTTTATCAGGGTGTGAGCTGACCACCTCCACTCAGTGCACATGTCGTGTGGAGATTAGAAGGGCTAAAGTCAGAAGAAAACAACTTGTGGGCAGGGCTAAAGTCAGAAGAAAACAACTTGTTGGCCAAAATTGTTGTGTGGAATTTTCTTAAAACTCATTAATTAATTAATTAATTAATTAAATTAACAAAATTGTTGTGTGGAATTTTTTTTAAAAGACTAATTAATTAATTAATTAATTAACAAAATTGTTGTGTGGAATTTTTTTTAAAAGACTAATTAATTAATTAATTAATTAAATTAACAAAATTGTTGTGTGGATTTTTTTTTAAAAGACTCATTAAATAATGAGTTGCACATGGATGAAATGGGAGCAGTGTCTTCCAATTGGTCCTTGTCAGTGCTTCATGCACAAAGTGTTACAGTGAGAATCTGCCCCAGAATTAAATCCACAATAATGGAACGGCTCCCTCAGAAGAGGAGGCCTTTAACCTGGTCAGCCAGCACATTCGATGTTGTGTTGTACTGTGTATTAGATTGGGAGCCCTCTGGGGTGAGTTCCGTATCTTCTTTTTGTGATAGCGTCAAGCGTGTTGATGGTGATGATGTCATGCTCTGTCCTGTGACCCGAAAGCACCAACCTACAGTCAGATTGTTAAAAAAACAGGGCACAAGCCCCAAAGTGACGAGGAGTGCTCTACTTTGATTTCACCAACCAGTTATCACATGTAAACTCTTCAGGCGCTATAACAGCCTTATGGTTGGTCACAGATGGTCCTGTTGCACACTGCCCTCTGTCTTACCACCCATATGAGCTTGCCTTTGTGATAGAGGGACCTTCTGCCAAGAATCCCAGCAATATTCAGGTTATTCTCAGTCCGAAGGGTCCAGTCACTTACTCTGGCTTAAATTCACTTTAGATCTCACACAAAAGACAATCCTCGCGGCCAATTCTATATAAACTGCATGAAGACTTGTTAAATAGGAAGAGGAAACAGAAGAGTTATTTATAAGGTTAAAGCAGGTAAACATTTATGCACAAATTAGTTACAATCTTAAATTTTGAAAGACATTTCCAGACTAAGCAGTTATTGTACCAAGCAGTTACAATCTTAAATTCCAGACTAAGCAGTTACACTCTTAAATTTTGAATAGACGATTCCAGACTAAGTAGCTGGGGATTTCTTGCTTATGCCTAGATACTTTGCCCTGTAGAGTCCAAGCAGAACAGAGATCCAGTTCCTTCTTTTTAGGGATTTTTATCCCCGTCTTCTCTTATGCTCTCAGCTGCAAACTAAAGCTGACGGGCATAATTCACTTGCATGACTCATCTTCAAAAGGAGGAAGCAAAACAACAAATGTCCTTTGTCCTTTTTAACGTTCCACAAAGTCCATCTGGTGTTGATGGACTTTCCCTATTGGTCAGAACATAACAACTTCTGTTGGATACCAGCACTTTACGTTAATTAACGCCTCTTTCCTGTCTGGTGATTATACCGTCCCAGGGGTCCGCTGTACAATTGCTCAGCTATTACCTTACGCTCTGGGATAGAGATGTTACAAGTGAGATTACTGTATGCAGCACTTCATAAGCATTCAAAAAGTCTAAACTGCAAATGCACTCTTATAATCCAAATATCCGTTTTAACAATACTAACACACAGGTGAGCCAAGCTGGCCCCAGCTGAGTATTTGTCAGTCTTCAGTTGAGACGTGGGGACCTTGGCATGAGCTGGCACCTAGTCCGACAGCTTCACAGGTGCACAATAAATAATAATGATTGAACCCAAATGGTTGTGTCAGTGATTCAGAGCCAACAATACATAAGAACGGCCATACAGCTTGTGGTATCAAGCTGGTATCTAGTGCATGCAGAGTCTGCGATCGTCTTGAAGTAAAGTAACGAATTCAGAGATTGTCTTTCCATCAGGACTTGTGCTTTCAGCCAAACTGAAATGATTTTCATACTTATTCTTTCCAACAGGGAGCTTATTATACACAGCCGGTGTATGCTGCGCAGCCTCATGTCATCCACCACACCACCGTGGTTCAGCCAAACAGCATTCCCTCTGCTATCTATCCAGCCCCTGTCGCTGCACCTAGGACTAATGGTGTAGCCATGGGAATGGTTGCTGGGACCACCATGGCCATGTCAGCAGGTGAGAATGAGCTCTTTAATCTGACCAGTAAGAGGATCCCTCAGAATATCTGCACAAATAATGCATTTCTATGGTGATGTAACAATGGGATGATTGTAGCTGATTTTGCCAGGAGAAATGCACTCTCTGTGTATTGAAAAGATGCCAGCACATACATATTTGTCCATTTTAAATTCCATGCCCCTCTCTGCAGTCTTTACTCCTACTGTACACTGTAAGAACTTGCCTCAATAAACTCAGTAGACTCGGTATTAAAGGTTGATGAAATACAGCACATTGCAACAAAGTAATTTCAAAACCAGTTTATACATGATTGCTTCTGAAATGTGGCCAACAACCCTCCAAGTTATTTCAGGGATTAAATTAAGAAAGCACCCAGTGCAAACTGCATTTTATTGTCCCTAATTTCCATAGCTAATTGTACAAAAGTGCTTGCCATGTACATAATGAGTTTTTCCTGTACTAAAAGGGAAGCTAAATGTAGCTTTATCTGCCAACTTCCATTCCTTTTTAAACAAAGGTTCTATCCATTTGCTCCTAGTAGTGGTTAAATAGTCACATTTTCAAAGATAACAAAGTAGACCCTCCAATTGGCTTACCCTATAGGGACATATTCTTAAGATTTTAGGTGTATTATTCCCTCTCTGGTCCGTCTGTTCCAGGAACAATGTAATAAGCAGCTTAATTCCTTATTCACAACACTGTTGTGTTCTTAACCTCTGGCTCCTTTTATAAGGTTTTTATAATGTTGTTGAAGATGTTAGTATTAAATATTTTGACAATAGAAACATTAATGTTAGCATATATATAATTCCCAGATCATATGTAATTTATGCTCACATTTAAATCCATATAAAAGCAGATGAATAGATATCACCTAAAACAAAGGACAGAGACTCTTTTTATTTGCACGACAGTTTATATTTCTGTCCTTGGCTGTTATTCAACCGAACAATTGTCAGTATTGCTCCTTGACTTGTCCAGCAGGGTTTTTAAAGACTGCCGCGGCTGTACATTCCCAGCAATATATTGCATGTCCTGTTAGCTTGTTCCAGTAATTTGTAAATCAGAAATATCTGTTTGTGATGGGAACCTCTGTCATGAATGGTAATGTCACCATCTGTACAGCAGGCACCATTCAAAGGGACAATTCTCTTTCCTGTGGTATGTGCAGTACTCCCTAAACTTATGTTGGGAAGGAAATGTAATTACTCCAGGTGGTAAGTGTCTAGGGTTTAATGATTGTACAATAAATGCATTCTTTGGGCATATATATTTTTAAAGAGTCATTCTGAACATCAAGATGACTCTTAGAACAAAATAAGTCTGCAGTTGTCATATGCATCTCACATCACACATAATCCAAAAGCTGTGAGAAGGTATTATTTGAAAGCCTCCAGGGTACGGGTTATTAACAACAAGGGAATGGTGGACTTCATCGAAATTAGATGTAGAAAAGAGCTACTGGGACATCCAGTCCATCT